CCAAGATTTCTCTTGAAAAATTAATTTTGTGATATGAAATAATTCCATTAAAAAATTATTCGTATGAAAAATCAATTTTGTGATTAGTGCTACCCAAACCACTACTACTACTATTTACACCATAGACTTCTATGCATACTTTTTCCCGCGAGTTTTAATAGAATTTGTTGCCAATAAACATCACTGGCGTAATAATAAACACAATGACGTAGCGAACGTAACTGCACCCGGGCCGCGACACTATATTGGCGCCCCTCCCCCTCCAGAAACAAATTTTGTTATTCTTGGAAACCATTAGGCTCCCCTCTGCCAGTGGCGCCCGGGGCAAGCTGCCCCACCCTCTGCTGAGAGGTTTTCTTCGTTTTTGGGCGATAAGAAATTCGGAAGTTCCTCAAGGACAGGCAGTCTCAAAGGATTAACCCATGGTGTATAGCAGCCTTTAAGTACCCTCTCATGGTCGTGCCAGTGCTGACAGCTAAAACACACGCACACCAACAGAAATAACATTGGAGTAACCCAAGACATAGCCAAAGATTGCAGCGCCACAGCACTAGCAGAAATTTAAATTTGCCGACTGGAAAGCTTTCGGTTAATTGACGTTTCGGTTGATCGACATTCGGATAATCGATGCTCTACTGTATAAAATTTTAAATTAAAATTTAAAAATTTTTATTATAATTACTTACCTGTTCAGCAGAACTCATACAAGTAGGCAAAAGTGGAATAACAGGAAACATATATTCTAAAGGATAAATCATAGTGACAAAAGCCATTACGCTCAGCGACAAGGCATTATAATCACGAGACTGTAATATTAACTGAAACGAAAAACAAAATCAAAATTTTTCTAAATTATTCTCTTAATTTAAGTAAATATTACACAAATGTTCAATCTGTGAACAATTTCATTTAATTTATATAAACTTAGGCCTGGAATCGTGAAGGCGTCGTTATTTACAACGTCGTATTCTTGCAACGTAAATTAAATCATATTAAAAACACAAATAATCATGAACTTTTACTTAACTAAAAATCGGAATATCGGTAAAATCATTTGTTTTATTTTAGTATTAACGACTATTATATTTGTAAAAATAAACAAACCTTATTTTCCATCATTATGCACGTCAATACTTTCATACACGTATCGACACCCAATAATTCTAAAGGAAGATGCAAGGGAAAATCCACCAGAGAAAATCGGGTTCGGTCAGGAAGAGCAAATACTAAAGCAGGCTGTATATCTTTAGGCAGTATTTCCACCTATTTAAACAGATAAAACATTATTAGTTAGGGAATAAATTCAAGTGTAAAAACGAACTTATTTATTACATTCAAATAAATATTAAAATCTAAATAAAGTATATTTGCAGGATTATACTCTATACAGAATCAATTTTTCAATAAAACTTAAAATGGCTACCAAAGAAAAAATTAGTACGGTGAACTGCCCCGTACAATGAAGGGAATACGTTCCACATTATAGGAAACTATGTTATTAGTTCTTTTGTGTGTAACGTAAGTATTTTATTAATTGACCATATCATTAGCATTATTATTACTGTTATTATTCCTCACATTTAAAGCTTATAAAACAAATTAAAGCATATGCAAAAAGTTGGAATTAAAAATGCACGTACTGTGTCACTGCGAGTGAATAAACTTTGGATGTTACAACATATGGACGAAAAAGACAAGTCTGTTATGAAAATAGGATAGCATATCCACAACTTTCTTTTTTATTGTTAATGTTATGGACCCTGGCCCACGCGCTTGTATTTGTTACACTTCAAATTAACATTTTACTTAATGACACAAAAGATATAAATCTACAGAAAAGCTCATTATGTTCTAAGGATTCACTGATATGGTGCTAGACTATATTAATCTTTGCAAAGAATGATATTAAATGTACTGTACATGAGCTAAAGTGATAGTTGTCATAAAACCATGGAAAACAGTATTGTAGCAACTTATAGATCTAATAAAGGGTGCTATAAAGCATAAACATGCATTATAAATTAAGGGTTTCAGTGACTCTGTTAATATTAAGGAAAACTTGAAACAAGAGGAACAACAACAGCAATAATAATGCTAAAATATGGTAAAATAATAAAATAATTACATTATACACAAAAAAAAAGTAAAATTGCAGTTTTAAATTTACATCACATTCCTCCAGTGCCTAGTGTTTTCTCCACTTGGCTACTGCCACTCCAATGGAACGCGAAACTTCCAAAGTCTCACAAGCTAAACACTCAAGTTTCAGAGGCCCGTTTTTCAGAAATGCTTGAGAAGTGGGTCCTATCATTTAGACAAGGAGCTGTTTGTTTATGGCTATATGCTCACCAAGTTTCATTTGAATTGGAGGCCCAAACATTTTATTCTCTCTTTGTCATCTCTCACTCTGCAAGGATTAAACTAAACTTCAAGGCAAAACTATACCACACCTCTACATTATTCCCTATACAACTCACTTGACTTCCTTTCAGAAATGCAGCACAGATGTAGTCTGATCACATCCATCTCTGGTGTTTGTTGAATTGCCACAAAGATTCATCTCGAGTCCAGCACACGTCATCACAAAAGACATGCTCGTTTGCAACCGTTTACAATGTCGAGAATACTAATGGTTTAAAATGAACCGACTTTTTACGTGACTTTAACAGGTAGTTTTTAAGACACCTGATGTTTACCTACCTCACTCAATAGACACCCTGAGACTCTTTAATATTTTAAATCTTAGATTTTTAAATAGTATATCTTACAGTAATTCAAAAGCCAACTATGAAATACTAATTGATCGTTTTATTTGTTTTTCTATTCTTGTTTTCTTTTCATTTTTCTACAAGGTCCATTAATTTTGAGGATGAGGTAATTTATTCCTTGGAAGTACTAAATACATTAACACGTTTAAGACTTTTAGAAAACATTTACCATCTTTAAGATTCAAAATAAACAAAAAACTTAAAAATGTTTTAATTAAGGAAGCTTTAAAAAGGATGTTTTCCGTCTTTCATTTTTATTTTTTTCCACCCTAAGGTGTCAAGAGAGATTTTTAATCATATTTATTGTGGGGCAAGAAATGGGGCCCAACACATCCGGGATGGAAATTTTTGACCCTGCGCATAACATGTAGCCGGGAAAAATTCCTGGCGTTGCTCACTCCAATGTGATCGTAGGTCCCCAGTGCAAACGGCCGACACCTTAGCCTTCTCAGTCATTTGACCATCTTAAAAATCAATTTAGATAAGTGAAAAAGATTTTAAGGATGCCTTAAATATTTTTACAAATATTTATATTTATAATTTAAAAAAACACAAAACGTTAACTAGAGAAACTGAATTTCTGGATTAAATTCAAAATGTTTTGGGTCCTTGAATGCACAAATGTAGACTGAAAATTATTATAAAAGACTAAGTACATTAAACCTGTCTCTGTTGTTTAATCAATAATAATTTACTTGTTTATTATTATTACAGAAATTATTCACAAAGGATTGTGGTATAAATTTGCAAACTATGTAAAATTTGGTATTAATTCACAACCTTTATCTAATGAATATAATAATAATATTAATGGGGTAATTAGAATATACACAAATTTTCTTCCTGTACTGGAACAAAATAAAAAAATCCAGCAATGAGGTGTGTAACTTTCCCAGCAAAAAATACTTACGTTTAAGAAATGCTAAAACTCGTTAGCAGAAAGTTAAAATTTTGTGTGGCACCATCTGTTATAAGATGTTATTAACACCATACGACGTGCCGGCAGCCGTAGTATTAGGGCCGTTCAGAGCCATACGACCACTGGCGGTCGGAGCCACTTTATGGATGTGCGCAGAGGCCACCACTAGGATGTAAAACAACATCTTACAAAGCCAGGATAATTTAACCTTGAGTAAAACTACATTGGTTATAGCGACGTCGGGCGGTCGGATGGCTCTGTACGGCCCTAATTAGTACGATCGCTGGCATGTCAGATGACACTTAACGTATTAAAAAATAACTTTTGCATTATTAATTATTATAAGAAGGCAATTTTGAGGGAGGAGATGAATTTCTAAAAGTATTGTAAATGTAAAATTTTTAAGAAGTGCAACCTCACTCAAGATATGACATATTATCTCTCTACATTACCACCTCTTGATCTATAACCACCAAAATTGAATAACATGAGCAAGAAATCACCACGATAGCCAAAAATCAGCCAGTAAAGTAAAATCTAGCATAATAAAATAAAATAAGACTTCTCTTAAAAGTATTGGATTTTCATTTGTGTTTCGAGACTTAGGAAATACATCCGAAATAATGCGCAAAATGACGGTAGTAGGCTAAGATTTTTTCTTAACAAAATCAGCATTGTACAGTATTAATAAATTATCGATGTTAGAGAATTACCGTGTCGATTTCCAAATTATTTAGCCATTTGCTAATTTGGTAGACGAATAATACATTCTAGATCTATTATTTACAATCGAACGCACTTAACGTAATCACTTCTGGGACTCGTCAATGCCGATGGTGAGAACCGATTGATAGCATTAAACAGACTACAATTAGTGAAAATTCTGCTTTATTTAACCGATAGTAAAAAAACTAAGTTTAAAATAATTAAAAATTGCATAAGATTTTATAATCATCATAAATTAACAGTAATTCATTCAAGATATAACTGAAATAACATGTAATTTGTACTGTTGGTGCTATAAGCAAATTAAAATAACATTAAGTATTTCAAACTTCAGTTAAGACTGATAACAAACGTATGTTATTGAGGACGATAGCATTAAAAGACAGCTTAAAAGTTAATGTTGACTACGAGCAATTATTTATTGTGACATCGTCACAGTGCCGTGCTGCAATTTTTTAATCATTTTTTTAATTTATTTCATTTAAAATGTATGCTCTCCACCTCAAATTAGTATTGTAGTGTCTTGCCCCTGTACGACATACTTTTCCATTAGTAATGGAGTTATGCCGATCGTCTAACTAACTCCTTTCATGGGAAAATTTTTGAATTGAAATAACGTGACTTTGATTTGTATCAGAAGTTCACATACAGTTAATCGGGGCCTCGTAAGACTTCCATATCTGGTCTCGAATTTAATTTATCTAACATCGTTCTCGAGATTAAGGAGAGACAGACATACGGACACCAGTGGGAATTTATAGGTCTACAATTTTTTCAAACTGCAGTCCAATAATTGAAACTCTAATTACAATAAGCAAGGTTTATCGTGTATAATTAATTCCGACGATATTAAAAGACTGAATTCCGACTGAATTCTACTGTATTACAAATTTTAGTTTAACCTAAGCTTATTCAGGAAAAGATTGATTTTGTTAAAAATATTATGGTAAAATATTCAGATTCTTTTAATTAGGCCTACTTAAATATAGTAGTAAGTTTAGTGAATTAAATCGTAGTTTAAATTGTTATCAATAGAATAAAGTTGTTATTACGGTAACAGTAAATACAATAAAAATGTTTGATTTAAATTATTTATTTAAATATAATTAACTAACTAACCTCGACTCTTGTTTTACCAGGCACTGGAACAGGGGCGCTGAGCAAACGGAGAATCCACATTTCTAATTCACGAATATCATGAAGAATTATTGCAGGAGTTGTTTCCGATATCTTTCCGGTTAACGCACTCCAGACAGATTCCCTACGTAAATATTTTGCAAATGTTTTTATCAATTTATAATAGCATAACTAAATTGATATATTACAGTTATAATTTCGATCATCAATTGTATATCTTATGTACTGTAAAGATAAACACACTAAAAACAGCAAAAATCAGCAAAAGCATAATATAAAAACAAACATTTTTCATCATATTAATCAACATTTTCAGATTTTTTAATAACCTAAGTTAGAAAAGCGTACGTACTTAGTTAAGGAGAAATTAGATGGTAATATTTTGAAAAATACTTAGAGACAAATAAGATTAATAGCATATTCAATAGTTCAGTAAATGATGTAGGATTATTAAAGAAAAATGGAGTAAGTTGCATTCCTGAGTTGGCACTGGAAAAAAATCAGAAGCATTATCTCTCTTGAAATATTCTTTCCTGAGATAGAGAGCGTTCTGTAATGTGATTGTTCTCCAATCTTCCATATTGTACATAATGTAATCAAGGCAACAGACAAATGACCAGTCAAAAGACAACTCTGCTTGTCTCTGGGAGACAAGAGACTCTCAGAGAGAAAAAGTTGTCCAGAATCATGTTTGGAGAGATGTGATGATCTCGAGATGTAAACAAATGATTAGCCAATCAGCGACAAGCTTGTGACGTAGACACTGTCTCTCGGAGATGAGAAACAGTGACCAGAATACGGCACCTGATATTGTATATGCCACATCGGGAGCATATGTGAAAATGTATTGATTTAATGCAGTAACTAATTTTTCCAGATTCATGTTTTATTCCCATTGTCTACAGTGCTATACTCACATTTCTTTTCCCAAAATTAATACACAAAAATACATGCACTTGAGGAGAACAACCTGTATAATGTGTATATTACAAGTAATCTTATAAATCTTATGTAAAGAACTTAAATTTTTCAAGTAAACTCTTTCCAATAACCAAATAGTTGAATTTATCTATTAATATACAGGAAACCCCCATATAACACAGTACTTCTATAGCACGGATTCACTCTAACACTGAGAATTGGGAACATCCCCCATATAACACGGTGCTTTTATAGCACGGGTTCACTCTAACACGGTTCGGGAATTAAGTAAAACCCTCGTACAACATAAAATGTAATAAAGGGTGCGTTCTTTTATACCTCCGCGCGAGCATTCTAATTGTTTTCGTGGCTACTTTGAATGCTCTTTCAACAAATAATCTATTTAATAGTTAAATTATACAATTGGGACTCTTCTTTTGCCTCTAAAAGCTCATTTTAGAATTATAGATTCCTCCACACAATACTATCGATAGTGCGGGCGCCACCATCTTTCTTTCACCGTCGTTCCTAAATGCCTACAAATGGCAGCGCACTCACGTTGCAGAGCGACCGCTATTAACAAACGCACCCACAAACTGTTACCAGTTGATGATGCTCATGCTGAGATCATCATATAGGATGAATAATCCTCAGGTAAAATATTTACTTAAATAATAAATAAGTATTTTACCTATGAAAAAAATGAATAATAAATCCGATTTAAATAAGGATTTAACATGTTTTTTTTTAATTTTTGGAACCTAACCTCCCTTTTCGCACTAGTTCTTTGTTTCGTATAACACGGATTCACATAACACAGCAATTTTTTGGAACGTAACTCCCGTGTTATACGGGGGTTACCTGTACTTCAGAATGGTTTTAAATATTTCATGAGATAATTTTCAAACTAACATTTTTTAAATTTCAAGGTAATATATAATAAAATCAGTTGATAAAAATTGATTTAGCAAAGCAAAATAAACTCTCTTATATCTAAACTTAGATTAGACGAATCCAATTGTTCTTTTAACCTGATGCAGACCTCAACTGAGGCTGAAAACATTTGTTTTACGAATGGTTAAGAAGTACCAGACAATAAAGGTAAACGAGTGAGTACAAGATCTTTTGCATTATTATGCTTTAGTTAAATAAACAATGACATGTAGAAGATGGATTATTTTCAAGCTAGAATTAAGTTAATTATAAATTAATCAGACCATGTAATTTGCCTAAAGGTAAGTAATTAAGCTGCCAACTTTATAAGTAACTTAATTATAGCTGAATTTTAGAGTTGTCTGGCTGTCAAAAATATTCTAAATAATTTAAGTAAATAAATCTGTTTATTAAAAATCGGTCTTACTGTATAATTAAATGGCATCAGTTACCTGCTTTGACGAGAGCCGCCTATTCTTCTTGTCGACGTACGTTCATTGGATGCATCTATGAGTTTTCTAAGGATGAAAAGACATTCACGAAACGTAGAAAAAAAAGGATGATGACTAATTATGCATAAAGATGTTAATGAATGACTTTTGACTTTTTGTCTTTTATGTGCTCTTGGAGATGGAGACTTTGAGTCTTGATCGGAATCATTTAAATATAATTGTCTAGGAACCTGTTCGCTAAAGGCTGAATCAGAGCTTTTGTTATCCTGAGAATAAGGTAAATCGGATTCTCGCAATTTCCCTCCGACTCCTCCTTTCCTGAGAGATCTTTCNTATCCTTTTTGGACCCATACTGATGCAACCTTCTGGTTGACAGAAGAAGATTACATCAGGTGGAAGAGGAAAGTCTTTATGATCTTCAGATGGATACACTCTGAGTAACTCAGGAGTCTGTACGACATGGTTCCTACTGGGTTGACGAGCACCCGCAATCACTATGTAATCCAATAAACGTGGACAAAAATATTTCTTTAATACATCCATTTTTTTGAATTATTATTATTATTATTATTATTATTATTGTATTATTATTATTTTTATTATTATTTAAATATCCATTTCAAATAAGAGAAATGGAATCCATAATTTAACCAACATGGGTTATTAATTGCTAATATAAAAAGTTATCTGCATACATCGTAAATTGGTTTGTTGTGGACTCGCAATTGAAAAAATTGCATTTGCCAATAAAAAATATTTGCTTGCAAGAAGTCCATCCTGTTTTGTTTCATTGCTGAAAAAGAAAAAAAAAAATACAGAAATGTAAACTTAATTGTAATAAATATCGATAATAAATATTTATTTTACAATCTAAAATTAATTTTATTCCAGATTAAACTGAATGTCATTTTATGATGTTTATTATGGTTTTTTATTGCTACTGCCCCCTTGACGGTAATAGAAGGCAAGGGGTGTAGAGGTGTTGTTGGACAAGGGAGACGAAAATTCATTTTGAAAAAAATAAATGTATGGAAATAGTCTGAAAAATTTGGGAAACGCTTATATAAATGCTGGATGCATTTTTAAAAACCTATATATTTGTGTTTGCTGTTAAAATTTAACATCAAAAGATTAATATTTCATTTGTAAGGATATAACTGTAGACAATTGATTAAGTTTACTTTTTGTTTTTAAATATGTTCTTTTATGCCACAAATTTCAAATGACATTATATTTAGAACTAACCTTTCACATATTTAACTGTTTTTTTACTGTTGGAAATATGTGTCAGTTTATTATCTTGAGTTAATTTCAATGTGACACGTCACAAGGCAACCTCTACGTGCCAGTATTTGGCCAAAAACAATGTCCCATTAGTCAAATATCCTCCGTATTTGCCAGATTTGGCTCCGTCTGACTTTCCTTTCCCTAAAACTTAAAGTAGTGTTGAAGGGAGAAAACTTTGTAAGACACGGAAGTCATCCAAGAAAATGAGACAAGGACTCTGAAGGCCATTACAAAATCAGAATTCTACAAAAATTGGAAAACATGTATTATATCTCAAGGAGACTGTTGAAGGACACCCATCTTAAATTACAAGTATCTTCATTTATTTAAAAAATAATAATTCATGGAAATTATTGATCACACTTTGTATAAATTTACAACCCTTCTTGGCCCCAGATGTAAATTTATAATGAATCTTCAATCTTTAATTTAATGCTTATTAATTATAACAA